GTTTGTTTTGCTTTAACTTTCTTAAAACCTTAGTTATAAACTATAACCTAGTAGGAATACTAATCAGTGTTAAGGAGTTAAGGATTCCAATCCCACACAGTAAAAATTCAGTAATACTTTGGCTGGATTCAAAACACTTTGAGAATACAAGTACCACCTGGTCCCCTGAAGCCTATCAGAATTTTCAAGGAGAGGGTTAGGACCTCCAAATCTCTAGCTATCTATCTAAAGCAGATTCTTACCACACCTACATACTTCTTTAAAAGTTGAGTATTGTAAACATTATGTAAAATGAAGATGAAATCCCATTAAAAATAAATTTGGGGCCGGCTCCGTGGCTTAGCGGTTAAGTGCGTGCGCTCTGATGCTGGCGGCCCGGGTTCGGATCCCGGGCACGCCCCAAGGCACCACTTCTCCGTCCAACGTGAGGCCGAGACCCACGTACAGCAACTAGAAGGATGTGCACCTATGACATACAACTATCTACTGGGGCTTTGGGGGGAAAAAAAATGAATAAATAAAATCTTTAAAAAAAATAAAATAAAATAAAATAAAATTGAATTCCCCAGAAATGTAAAAAAAGTTATGATGTACCAAAATAAAGAAATAATAGAACCTCTACCATCTCTATCATCACCATAATCTTATCTATTAACACATATTTGAAATTCAATCAATAAAATAGAAGAATTAGGGGTAATAACATTTTGCCTTAAAATTCTATTTCCTATTTCTATTTTAGTATGAAATTATGTCACAAAGAATAGAGGATCGAAATCTCTGTATCTCCTTATTCGAGATTATAACCAATATCTTTTAATGCATATCATTAGTGTCTATATTAGATTTAGGGTTACAGCAAAAACAGGCGATTCAATTAAAAACACAGTTGAAACAATAATCAGATACTACTTTATACCATCACATTAGCAAAAATAAAGATGATAATATAATATCCAGGCTGTTGAGAGTATGGGACCACAGATACTTTCACAGACTGTTAGCGGAGACTAATTTGGCAGTATCTTTTAAGACATAAAATGTACACACTTTCTGGCCCAAAATTCACTTCTAGGAATCTAATAAAAATTCTCATATGTTCAAAAAGCTAATGTGTTCAAAGATGTTCACTAAAATATAGCAATACCCTAAATGTCTAGTAAAAGGAATGGTTAAATGAATTATCATACTTGTATACTCTACCGACATAGAAAAAGATTCATGATATAATGTCAAGTACAAAAAAAGCAAGTTCCAGAGTCCTATGTATAAATGTGGCACCACTTTTTTAACACACATTTTTGTAGCAGGAATAAGACCTTTTTTGTTTGTTTTTTAACCAGCTGAGATTAAGGTTTCTGCCTGTGTTTAGGAAAATTCCTTAGACAAAATGAGGTATATAAAAAGACAGTGAATCAAAGACGTACCAAATCACTCCTGAATTTGGAAATAGTGGCAAGTTGAGAGGCAAAAGCGAAGAAACTAAGGGATAAAAGAAGAAACAGACATGCAGAGAGAGAGAGAGAAGGAGAGTATGTGGTGAAAGAACAGAGCTATTAAACGTTCAATTTTAAATAGTTCATCTTGTTACAACCTTCCCCCTGCCCCACAACTTCATCTACCCAAACACTGATTACAGTCTACTATACACACACACGAATCCTCTGTGTGAGTGACGTGGGGTACACTGTAGGAAAGGGGAGACACATCTGGAGAGACATGAAGCAAAGAAAAGAGAACACCCATGGGAGACAAGAGTACAGCAGAGTAGGAACTCAGAGCAAGAGGTGACTATAACATTTTTGCAGAGACTTCCACAGCATATTTGATAAGGAATGTGGACAATTTTATTTAAATCTCAAAAGATGAAGCAAGCTTTGTTAACAACTACATTATATACATATTTGTGTATGTTTACATATATTTGAGTGTATATAAATGTGTATGTGTTATGTATTTATGTATATACATATTTATATAAGTATATGTTTTAAAGATTTTATTTATTTAATTTTTTCCCCCCAAAGCCCCAGTAGATAGTTGTATGTCATAGCTGCACATCCTTCTAGTTGCTGTATGTGGGACTCGGCCTCAGGATGGACGGAGAAGTGGTGCCTCGATGCGCACCCGGGATCCGAACCCGGGCCACCAGCATTGCAGCGCGTGCACTTAACCACCAAGCCACAGGGCCGGCCCAGTATATGTTTTAAAAACAAAACATTCATTACCCATTTGATTTGTTCAAATAAAACTTCCCTTTTCTATATCACATTGTAAATATTTAAGTTTCTCAGCCTTACTGTTTTCTCCAAGGAGCTAGTAACTAATGGAATTTCTGGTTTATCTTTGAGAACACAGGCCCTCCTAATTAGCAATTGCTAGTGAAAGAAATTTCAAAAAAGATAAGAAGAGATGCTCAGGCTGTTTCTCCTAGAGCTGCAGAGGGCAGAACATTCTGAGTCAGAGGGCCTGTCCTGATAACATACAGAACTGAAAGCTTTCACAAGAACACTATAAGTCTAATATAGAGGCTGTGTGTTAAGTTACAACTATAATCATCCTGTTCTATTTTCCACGATAAAACCGTCCTTACAAATGTTTATTTGTAACAAAGGAGTCTCTCAAGTCATTTGGATTCAAAGCATCTCAGGATGTCCAGTGACTCTAACCTGTATCTAAAAATCTGCTTTTTAATTGGTTGTCTTGCTTGATAAGTGATTGCCCTGCTAAGATATTTTAACTCTCGTTTCTATTTCTGAAGACATAAATACTTTTAACATACCTTTGTTAACCACAGAAACTTTGAAACTTTATCCCTTTCCATCCTTCATGCATAAAGGTAAAATAACTTGACTTATTTGGTAGATTCTTTACCTTAAAAGTCATGTATATTGGGTGAAGGGATACATTTATATGGTGAGTGACAAACAATAATGTACAACAAAAATTGCATAATAATAAAAAATCATGTATATTAATTTAAAAAATGGATTAATTGGATTTCATCAAAATTAAGAAATTCTGCACTTCCAAAGAGACTGCTAAGAGGATAAAAAGAAAAGCCCCAGACTAGGAGAAAATATTTGCAAATCACATACGTGATAAAGGACTTGTAACCAGAATATACCAAGAACTCACAGACTCATTAAAAAGAAATAAAGAAGCCAATTCAAAAACAGGCAAAAGATTTAAATGTATACTTTACTAAAGAAGATATATGGATGGCAAACGAGCACATGACAAGATGCTCAGGGGCCAGCCCCATGGTGTAGTGCTTGGGTTTGGTACACGCCGCTTCAGCAGCACAGATTCGCAGGTTCAGATCGTGGGCATGGACCTATACCATTTGTCAGCCATGTTGTGGTGGCGACCCACATATAAAGTGGAGGAAGACTGGCAAAGATGCTAGCTCAGAGCTAATCTTCCTCCGCAAAAAAAAAAAAAAAGATGCTCGGCATCATTAACCATTAGGTAAATTCAAATTAAAGCCACACAAGATTTCCCTACACAACTAACAGAATGGCTAAAATTAAAAAGACGCCCATACAAAGTGCTGTCAAGGATGTGAAGAAACAGGATCTCTCATAAACTACTGGTGGGAATGTAGTACTAGTAGTACAAATCTTACAAAATCAGAAAAAATAAGCTGAAAAAGGTAAAAGAAATTGATCAAGATAAAAGCTCAAATTAATGAAATATGAAGTATAAGAGCCATTACAACAATCTAAAGGCTAATACTTTTAAAAGTTCAATAAAATAGAGAAACCTCTTGAGTCTGTTCTTGGAGAAAAAATGTGTGTGTGTGTGTATGTGTGTGTAGTTTGTGTGTGTATGATTAGAAAGGAGAAAGGACACATTCAGAAGAAATCAAAGTAAGTATACAAGAATATATATAGATATATGGCAACCAATTTGTTAACTCACAAGAAAGATAATTCCCTAGAAAATATAAAAGCTATTAAAAACTGAACCAAATAGAAGTAGAAAGTTTGAATAATTCATACAAGAGTTTGAAAGAAAGATTTAAAAGTTACCACTTTTAAAGAGACCAGGACCAGGTAGTTTCACCAATGAGTTCCATCTAATTTTTAAGAAGCAAGGAATTCCAATATTATTTAAACTATTCCAGCCCACAGAAAAATATTTAAATCTCTTCTATTTATTTGGTGAAGTTAACAATATCTTAGTACCCAAACGTGATCATAAAAGTACAAAAAATATATAAATTATAATTCAATGCCATTAAAAAAAATATGTTTCAGCAATATATCAAAGGGATAATATAATATGACCAGAGTTCATTCCATGTAATGAATTAATCAATAAATTGAAAAATAAGCCATATGATTATAATAATGAATGACAAAAAAGTATTTCATAAAAATTCAGTCATTCCTAATATAAACAAGGTAATTTAGTTACCAAATAAAAGTATTTAAACATAACACTTCTTAACAAAAAATATTAATACACACGGAAATAACTAATCCTTAAACTTCTCTGATTAAATGTCTGAGATTCTGGGCCGGCCCTGTGGCTTAGTGGTTAAGTGCGTGCGCTCTGCTGCTGGGCGGCCTGGGTTCAGATCCCGGGCGCGCACCGACGTACCGCTTTTCCGGCCATGCTGAGGCCACGTCCCACATACAGCAACTAGAAGGATGTGCAACTATGACATACAACTATCTACTGGAGCTTTGGGGGAAATAAATAAATAAATAAATAAAATTATTTAAAAAAAAAAAAAGTCTGAGATTCTTAATATAGCTAAATGTCTAAACTATGGTGAAGTTTGGTGGAAGGAACTGAGAAAGGACAAATATGAAATTTTCTACATACCTATCAAACACACACAAGCATATACATACCTATGTACATACATTCACATGTATAAATACTATCAAATTCATATATAAAAACGTATGCATATTCCCTCACAGAAAACATATCTAACATACATAATTATACATTTGTATTTATTCTATGTTAAAATACTAGTTTACCTGAGTGGGCAATCGGAATAAGGAATTCTTATAGAAAATGTCCTTAGCCTGGCTCCATGTACCATCAATGATGATGATCGTGGAAGGATAAATAGGAGAATCTAATATAAATTCTTCCAAATTAGCAGCTTCAGCCCCTGGATATAATATTAATGTACCAGACTTCCGACAAACAGTTGAAAGTTCAGGATCTCTACAAGATTAAAGAAAAAACTTTATTAGATTGTGGGGAAAAAACACCTTTTATTACTCTTATTGGACTTCAATCAAAAATACATATCAAAGCATTTTGGCACTGGAGATATAATAATGAATGCGACAGCCTCTGTCTGCAAGCAACAAAACAATCTTGAGGGGGAAGGAGACAAGTTAAAGAATCAATTAAAGACAATAAACAGCATCTTTTTTAAACTGATAAATGGCATCTACAAAAATGTACACCAATATCATATTTAAAACTATCCCTTGAGATTGAGATCAAGGTAAAGATGCTGGCTTTCACCACTCCTAACATACATTGTACTGAAGGTCCCAGTTACTGCAATAAGGCAAGAAAAAGAAACAGAAGACATAAAGATCGGAAAGGAAGAAGTATAAATGATCCTATTTACAGACGATATTTACATATAAAGTTCTAGGGAATCTACAAAACAATTTCTACAACTAATGAATGAATTTAAAAAGTCACTGGATACAGGGTTGATTATTTTCTTATATACTAGAGGCAAAAAATTGAAAATAAGTATTTTTAAATTCCATTTACAAAGGATACCAAAAGCAATATATCTCTTACTTATTCCCCCATGATTACTTCACATAATCTAACAAAAGCCTAACTTAATCATTCAATTACCAGATTAATATTAAATCAACAGTCTTAATCAGCTTTAGTTTAAAATCCATCAGTGAATAATAACTTACTGAGTAAGCACTATACTAGGCAACATAGAAAAAACCGAACTACTTGATATAATGGGCTCAAAATGCAATGGGCTATTTGGAAAAGTGTCAAGTTTCTCATCCAAAGCATATTTGTGGAGGAGTTAGATAGCCAAATGTCAGGGATGACCCAGATAGTTTCCATTTCTACCACCATAGATGCTCACCACTTTTGAAATAAAATAACCTAGATCCAAGTTGGCAGATTAGGTGGAACCCAATTCTACCTATATAGCTACATCCACCCAAGAATTACAGAGAAACTATCAGTATAAAGAGCTTCTGTGTGAAAGAAGTATCACAATGTAAATAACGATGTGGCTCCTCCCCATGTGAAGAGCCCTGGATCTCACTTCCATTCCCAACAAACTGGCAAAAATCACAACAGCAGCACCAAGGCCAGAACAAATCTCACCTCTGGGGGCAAGGTAATGCCAAATCTGCAACAGAAAATTCTATATGAGAAGACTGTGCCTAAACAATAGTGTCAGAGAAGGGAAAAAAATGATTTTATAAAGTTCTAACATGAAGTTATTTTTATAATATGAAGCTAAATAATAAAGAAGGCTAAACTATTAAGGAATGAAAAAGTCTGCTCAATTCCCTGGGCTTGTTGCTAATACTCTTCTTACTTAGCATTTTTATAAGTGAACTGAAAAAGAAATCTCCATATTTTCATGAGAAATTAAATGTTGCATCTAAAAATATATTTAACTGTGTAGGTAGGATCAAAGTAATTTGCGAAGGCTTTGTGAACGGGCAGAAAAGCAACAAATGTGCTTCAAAGGTAAGAAAAGACTTGTAGAAAAATTTAAATATACGTGTAGTATATAATTTATATTTATGATAATGGGTTCTGTAATACAGTGTGAAATAAGATCCAAGGACATTATAAAACTGAGGGTGAAGATATCAACTAATGGGCTGCTGCACATAAAAATATTGGGCCTCATCAGAAAGAATATTTTAAATATGACAGGAGAAGGCATTCTATCCTTCAAAAAAATATGATATGCCTATAACTAGAATACTAAATACAGTTCTAGTCACGGCACCTTAGGAAAGCTTTAATGGACTAGAAATGGATGGATATGTGTTTATTTATATAAATGCATATCATATAGAATTGTAAAAAAAGAAAATAAAATTGAACTAAATCTAATAAAAGTATGCTACCATCTTGAAACCACTTTCAACAAAAATGAAATAAACAGTAAATATACATGCCTTTAGGCTCAACATACAGTACTATGAAATTTAGATAATGCTATCAATCCCTTGGTTATTCCATTTCAGTCTGTGTTTTTTGGGGGTATTTTTGTTTATGTTTTGCTTTGTCTTGTATTATTTTGAGGGAAAAGGCAGAACTTAAATTTTTTGACCACTCCCAATGTACCATGTTCTGGGTCTAATGAATAAGTTGAAGGAAACCATTTTTAAAGATCTTTGTAGAAAAGAATTACTTTAAATTGCCCTAAAAGTTAATTTACCTTTCTTCACTGAAGCGACGACCAATCTTGACTTTACACTTGTCCTGGGGGAGGCATGCTGCTAGTAGAGGAACTGTCCGCAACACTTTGTTTTCCTTTAATTAAAAAATTAATTAAAAAGTACATTTTACTTAGACAAATGCACTTTTAAAAGTTTTATGATGAATATTTGATTAATAATATATATAATTTTCACAAATCTTTTAACACAGACCACAGTTTAATAAAAAGAGCTATAGTTTCCCTGATTTATCAGTATTAAATATAATACAAGTGTACATTTTAATTCTATTTGTGTGTTTAGAGGTTTACTGATCAAATAAGATAACATTAATCTAAATAATGGTTACGATTATGAAAAATGTAAATTTGTGCTTAACTAAATCAAATCATTTATTCTGAAAAACTTCTTATTTCAACAGTAATTACATTTTGTAGTATGTCAACTTGAAGATAACTGCCTAGATCTTTATGCCCAGAAAGCAAAGAAGTTCTCAAAAAAACAAAACAATGGTGCCTATCAAAGGGACACAGAAGCCAATCTCAATGGCCAAACTGGAACAATTTGAGCAATAAAATAAATAACACAGTATTTGGATTATAACCCAAAGTATAAAATAAATATAGAGTCCCTACTGATATAAACAAATGATTGAATAAATAAACAAATGGGAGCAAAAAGACAAATCTTCCTTTTTGAAGAATTTCAAGTAATAGCTGTAAATACGCTCCATTCCAGGAGGTAGAGCTTAATCTCTCCTTCCCACTTGAGTGTCGGCTGGATTTATGGCCTTCCTTCCAAAGAATAAAGAGTATGGAAAGGGAAAAAAATAATAACTTTAGAGCGGAGAAATCTGACCATTTCTGTAAATTCTATTAACTACCATCAGTGGTTTTTTCAACATCATAGTTTCCAACACTAAAAACTACTTTTCTTGTTGTCACAAGAATTCTACCTTAATCCAAGTAGAGCCAGGTGATTAGCTACTCTGCCTTAGTTGCACACTTTTCCTGGTTATTTTGGTCTATAGGGCAGAGTCACTGTCTGGCTCTTCTCAACTGGCCCAACTGGGAACGTCATGCTTGATCACATAAGTGACAGAGCCCCTCTCTAATCTGTTTACCTACACACAGCCCAATGTTATCTTTAATCAATTGATATAATCCCGACTATATATATCCTCACATTGAATAATGTGACTATTTTTGTATCCACAAAAGAATCACAGTGTACTTAAGGAATATCAATCATTACTCACTTTCCTTTAGGAATATCAAAGTTACTTAGAAAATTAATACACAAAACAGTAATGTTACATATAAATTTACTAAAGTAATTAAAAATAAATTTATACTTACATTATACTTGTAACAGAAACAAAAGGTATTGCAGTGACGATATTCAGCAACCACAAACACACACACCCACATATATACACCCTTTAGGGACATTTTTGTGTTTATCTCTTTCACCCCTGGGTCTCTGAAGTGTTGATTAAAATAATATGTAAAAGGTGAATTTAAAGATGCTGACAGTAATTGATCTACCTAATAAAAAGCTGGAAAAGGAAACAGAAGAATCAGAATTTGCTGGGACTTTAACTTAATAAAAAAGAACATGTAGCAGGCTGGAGCTCTTAGGGAGCCTGAAAACAGTAATTTGGAACAACTAATATGATGAATGAGACTAGGAGGAGAAAGACGAGAGGGGAGTTTTAGGACATTTTCCAGTGTTTCATACTGTTTTCTTCCCTCCTTACCACCACTATGAGACTTTGACACATACTTAAATCACTTTTGAAACTTTTACCAAAGTAACACATTTACATATGTCAAACTAAATAGTGCCAAAATATTTATAATGTTCCCAGATACACTCTCTAGTACCACTTCCAGAGGCAACCAGTTTAACTCTTTTAGCCATTTCTTCTAGCAGTTATCTCCATATTTCTATATATGTGTCTTGCTATTTCTTAATTTATCAATTTTAGATACTATCTACAAACTACCATTTATTATCATTATCATAACAGCTAACTTTAATGTACATAATTTTAAGTGCATTATATATACAGATTGATTCATTTGCTGTTTACAATAACCCAGTAAAGAAGTATATCTTTTATCACATTCATTTTACTGATGACGAAACTGAAGCACAGAGAGGTTAATTAACTTGCCCAGGGTTACAGAATTTACAGAGCTATTAAGGACTTAAACTCAAGCAATCTGGCTCCTGAGACCTCACTCCTAACTATAGCACTTTATAACTACAGCCTGTCCTAATAAATGAGGATTTAGCTTTCTTACATTACTCCTTACCCTCATGTCTTCTAATATTTTTAGTTAAATCAATAAACTGTGTTTACATCATTATGGCTACATATACATTGTTCACAAAAGGCCAAGCAGTTTAACATAACATTTTTTCCTTGTAAAGCTTTTTGTTATTTTTGAGATAAGTGCTTTGTTTTTATCCTTAAATAATTTTCTACATACATATACCTACTCTTTGAAATGCTCCATCATATCACCTCCATATCATCCACTTCATTAAAGCCCCCTCCTAGAGCCTATCCAAATGGCTTTCAATCACTTTTTAGGGAGAGCCATCAAATTGGCATATTCTTTTATTGAAAACAGTGTGCTGAGATTAAGCACAAGGCAGCCCAGTATTACTGAGTTAGATTAAGATTGGAAAGTTTCTTGGGTGATAAGGAAAAACAACATAGACCTACTTATATATACATAAAATATATCTGTAGCACACAATTATACACTGATCTATCTACAATTATATACAAAAAATCTATATGCAACTATAGACGGATCACCTAAATTGTGAATTAACCATGGAAAGAAGGAAGGAAAGAATGAATGAATGAATGAAGGAATAAATAAATAAATTTGAAAACATTAAAACTGTCACAAATCAATAAAAACACCTACATTTTAAAAGCCATCTTATGTCTGGAACCACACAATAATGAAAAGGCACCATGAAAACAGCATTCGCCATAAAAAGTCAAGTTTCAGCCAAAACGGTTATGACTAGTAAACTATCATTTTATGTAAATTTGAGCTGCACAGTGTTGTAAGTTTAAATGAAGTAAAATAATGCTAGTAACCAAACTGTCACAATCCTGACAAGAGCATGTTGCTTGTTAACACGAAAAAAATGTTACCCAACAAATGGAATATTTAACAATTTGCAATAAAAGACTAAGTGTTTCATCATTTGGAAAAAGAAAAGACAGATTAATATTTTTTATGTCTTTGCTAAAGTCTTCAAGTCATATAGGCTTCAGAAATTTAAGAAAAAAATTTTTCCTTTTTCAAAAGCCTGATTTGATCTATGATGTCCTGAGTTCATAAATGTTAGAAGAGTTTTAACTTCAGTTTACATTAAACCCATTCTGGACCATGCATCAACTAGTTTTGTATTGATTATAATTTGTGGTTTTCTAAGACCTCCTTCCCTCCTCTCTTCATTACTGCAGTTAATCAAGAGTTACAAACACATACACACCAGCAAATGCATAATTCTCACCCATGTAGGAAAGTATTAATTAAAGGTCTTTATAATATATATACTATAAAATATACATATTCTGTTCATTTAAGGAAATAAAAAATTTATTTTATATATTCATTTTGTAACACTAAAATGCTGAGAATTACTTCTACTTTAACAAGAAAAGACATCAAGACATCAAGGAATATAAGCTATGACCAAATTTTAAAAGTAATGATTTTCTTAGCTTTTCACTCAAAAAATCTCATTTTTTTCTTCATACAAAACTGTTGGAGTTCTAAATTTCTATACTATTCAATAACACAGTTTTTATGAAATAACACTGTTTTATGAAATAATATAGTTTTTATCTGTCTCTAAAGCATATGATACTATACAAGCATATAATATGTAAAAGAAACTATTTTCTCCCAAAGAGAAAAGCATTTATCATCAATTTATTTTCAGAAATGCTAAAGAGCTGGGAGGGATGAGTATGTTCATCTGTGTGTTTCCTCCCGTGTACTAATATTTTAATTGAAATTGTGTGTTTTACAAAATCTTACTCACCTCTGCTGGATGCTGAATTATGTACAAGTGGGTAGAGATGTGCAGAGGATGCACTGGTAGAAATGGACACAAACATACTTTCTGAGGCCGGCTAAAGGGCAGAAAGAAGAAGGAAACCTGTAAATGTTTAAAAACAACGATATAACAACGTAAAACTTGAACATAATCCCACCTCATTATATAAAGAGATTTGCTAAAGCTGCATTCTTTTAAAACGAAACACTAAGAATGAACTTAATCAATCAGACTTTAGATATGAGAATTTGGAAAACGATTCAAGTAAATTCTTTACCATCAATATAGATCAAAGTGCCTCAAAAAAATCATCTTATCTCCTGTGGAAGAATACTCATAAGTCACCACCATGGTCTTTTATTCATGAAGTAACCCTTCTACTAACTAGCATTCTAAATAAAGAACAGATCTCATGTCAAAGAGAAATCTGGCAACTCTTCTAAATCATCTGAAGGTGGAGGGAACAATACGATGATAAAATATTAGAATATAATTACCACCTAGAAGAGAGTTCTAATCAAACTTAGCCATCAATCAACATGGAGAGCTTACTAGTTGGGAGAAGAAACCCAAACAGGGACCACCAAATTATATTTGGCTAAAATTATATCCACAGATTGTCTGCCTTATCCATTTATTTTCCCTTTTGTTATCATTTACTTTGCTGTTTTTGTTTTACTTACTTTTTAGTGCTTTACTATTGTTTTGGTAACACACTCATTATAAAATTCAGATGGAATAAAAGGGTATACTTCCCATCTCAGTCCTCCAGCCTAGGGCATTCTCTTTCCTAGCGGCAACCAATGACTAGTTTCTTGTGTGTCCTTCCAAAGGTATTGTAGGAATATACACAAATATTTTACCATTAAATCCATTATTTGATATGTGTGTTTCTAAAATCAAATTCATCATGAAGCCAGACAGAGTATATCATGGGAGTAAATTTTCACAACAAATCACTACTACAGGCAGATGTTACACGTCATTACAATAGTATACAAGTGAATGTATACATTCACTGTACTACAAAACAGACTACTATCAAATCCTTCCTTAATTTTACTTATATAGAGGTATAGCCTGAGGTAAGAAATGCTTATATTAACAAACCATAGAATGTGAGTAAATTGGTTCAATTGTATCTACCACCTCATTCTACAAGAAACTGTCAAATCTATGCTCCTACTGAAGAAATTATTTAGATGATGTCTTAGGAAGAGGTAGAAACGTATTGTACAACTTGACCCCACCTCCCCTCTCCACCACCGAACCTCGAGTGGACAATTAACCAAGGAAAACAATATATTTGCTTTCCAGTGATGTCTGAAATGATTCAGTATGATTACTCTGCCCTACACTGGATTCTCTCTCAGGAATGTGAGCAGATTTATAGGGATGGAGAGAGTCTTTCAGTGGTCACAAGAAGGGTAAACACAAGTAAACACAGAGAGGAGCAGACAGTGATTGATGAAACTAGGTACACTGACAAACAGATCAACGGCTACAATTAGAAAGGATTCCTCATTCAGTAAAAGGATGAAGAGGTTAAGGTACATTCAAACTCTAAAATTTTAAGTTTCTGATTTTTTTATATGAAACTCTGTATGACTGAAATGCACAATCAGATGTCAGTTAAATTCTTTTATAAAACGTAATTTAAGATCAGATCAAGCCATTTAAAAAATTCAGAATTTAATTGGATATCAACTTAAATATCCGCAAATTATATGATTCTGAGAATATGAAAGAATTAAAAAAAAAAATCAATCGTCCTATGCAGGAAACATCCAGGTATTAATGAGCCAAGTAACTGCAAAATCTAATCAAGTAAACAAGCTGGGTGGAAGCTGCAGATTTCTGTGGGCAGCAAAAAACTAGGTAAAATAAACCCTGAAAATAACATCTTCAGCTCACGACATATACAGTGATTATAAAAGTCCTTAGTATGACACTTTGGATAGTGCAAAGAACTGCTGTGGACATTGGCAGCTCTGGGTTTCACATCTGACCAAAATCTCTGTTCGTTAGGAAAAAAACAAACCTCGGGCTGGCCCGGTGGCGCAGCAGTTAAGTGTGTGCGCTCCGCTGCGGTGGCCTGGGGTTCGAAGGTTCGGATCCCGGATGCGCACAGACGCACTGCTTATGAAGACATGCTGTGGCGGCATCCCATATAAAGTAGAGGAAGATGGGCACAGATGTTAGCCCAGGGCCAATCTTCCTCAGCAAAAAGAGGAGAATTGGCAACAGATGTTAGCTCAGGGCTAATCTTCCTCACAAAAAAAAAAAAAAAACCTCAATTACTTGGGATGGTAATTTCCTTACTGGGAACACACCTTGGAACTTTAAGAAGATGTAGAATTAAGTAGTTTGGAGAGTTCCACTTCCAGGATGACAGGGAAAGTTGCTTCACAGACCCACTGCCCAGTGAAACAAGCGAAGCTAACAAAACTACTTTAAAAAGCAACCAGTTAAAGTCGCTGAAAAATGTCCTAAGCGCATATTTGAAAGAAGAAACATTATTCAAGAAAATCTACTAAAACTTGGTATTGCGACACTTTGTGGCATTTGAACCATAACCCACTTCCTACCTTGCTCCAGCTCAGGTTGACAGAAGCTCCACTCCAGCTAGGTGTGTCTAAGAGAAGAGAGCTCCCTCTCAGCTCCTAATCAAGGTGTACCATATGTCAGAAAGAAAGGTAGGCCATCAGCATTTCTCATCCTCTCCAACTCCAAGTTGAAGAGGCTAAATTCCTGATGAGTGTGGCCAAGAGCGCAGAGGCTCCCTTCCTCCACCCAGCCTCCAATTATAAAACAGGAGGTCTACCACAGTGCAGGAGGCTGAGAATGCTGGAGCCCCAACTGCCCTCACCTCAGTTTGCTCATAGGATAGAAATTCCACACCAGAAGCAGCAAGCCAGAGACCACTGCCCAGCCCTGAGCCCAGAACAGTGGCTCAGAGAGTTTGCCCAGAAGGAGAGGTAGTCTATACAAAAAGAGAGCTCTGAAGCTCTCTCCAAAGTAACTGCTTTATTTCAAACAGAGTGTGAGGAAGTTCAAGACTAAGGGTGCTTTCAAAAAGAATACTTCCTCTTAATTAAGAGCAATAAACTAAATCACAGGCCAGCTGGTTCATTAGAAAGAACCAGGGAAAGACACAGCTAAGAAGAGCACACCTGCAGTCAGAACAAACCTCAAAGAGTGGCCTCAAAAGCTACCCCAGCCCGAATTTAACTAGATCAAGCTGCTGAGCAATTTATCCCCTATGGCGCTGTATCGAAATGATAGAACAATCAGCTGGTAATTAGTGCAGTCTAATGGGCAGGATGTAATACCAAAAGAAGAAGGCAGCTTAAGAGAAAGATCTGGAAAAGAAGAGACATTCAAAGAGAACCCTGCTAAAACCACCGTGACAGTGATGATGTTTGCACAACTTGGCTAATATAATAAAAATCTCTGAGAATATACAATAAAATACTATAATAAAAATCTCTGAGAACATTTAAAAGGATGGATGTCATGGTATGTGAGTCATATCTTAATAAAGTTGTTATTTTAAAAAATGTAAAAATGCAATGGAAAAAGAATGTTCAACCTAATTAGTAAGAGAGAGGCATTTTATCACTATTTGATATTATGTTATCTGAAAGTGGGTTACCTTCTCTACAATGTAAGCTACATAAGGGCAAGGACTTGGTCTACTTTTTTCACTTTTATATCCCAGCACCAAGCATAGTAAGCTACCAATAAATACTGTTGAATACATGAAGGAATACCTTTGCATTCCCTCTTACCTCCACCTTGGGATGCCTTTCTCCTGCTACACAATTTCTTATCCTATCCCTTCATTTTCTTACATATCAAATATTAATCTCTCCTCCACTTCTTCTCTAGTACTTAAGCAATTAGTTTCTATTACAGGTGAAATTCAGAGTCTCAGATCTCCCTTTGCTATAATTTGTGATCATTTTGGTAAGCAATCACACATAAGAGGCAAAAATATTTACTGAAGAAAATATTTACTAAAAAAAAAAAAAATCAGCTAAGCACTATGTGTAAATACTGTAACTGTGATTTAAGCTAAAACTAATTGTTTTGGCTTATGCTTTGACATGCCCATAAAACATCATTCCCTATTTACTTTAATGCACGTCCCTTTTATTAACCTAATCTAATTACAATTACTTCAACTAATAAAACTATAGTTCTTTAAAATATTTTGCATTCCCTATTTAACAAGTTACTTTACAATATGAATTTGCGCTTATTTGTTACTTTAACAGCAATTTTTCTCATACTTTCCTCCTCCACAATGGTCTGCACGTATTGTGTTGGTGACTAGCTATACAAATGTTAAACCATCTCTCACCAAACTAATGGATAAGTGCAGAGTAACTGCTCTCTTCATTCTAAAATCCTTTTCCAATAAAATAAAATGCCTAGGAATAAATTTAACCAAGGAGGTGAAAGACCTGTATATTGAAAACTCCAAACATTAAGGAAAGAAACTGAAGATACAAATAAACAGAAAGATATTCTATCCTCATGGAATGGTAGAAATATTATTGTTAAAATGTCCATACTACCCAAAGTAATCTACAAATTCAATGTAACCCCTATCAAAATTCCAATGGCATTTTTCACAGAAATAGAACAAAAAATCCTAAAATTTGTATGGAACCATAAAAGATTCTGAATAGCCAAAGCAATCTTGAGAAAAAAGAACAAAGCTCTAGAGGCATCATGGTCCCCAATTTCAAACTATATTACAAAGCTATAGTAATTAAAACAGTATGGTATTGGCATAAAAACAGACACATAGGTGAATGGACCAGATTAGAGGGTCCAGAATTAAACCCACACACATATGCTCAATTAATTTACAACAAAGGAGCCAAGAACGTACAACGGGGAAAGGACAGTCTCTTCAATAAATGGTTTTGGGAAAAGTGGACAGCCACATGCCAAAGAATGAAACTGGACCACTATCTTACACCATACACAAAATTAACACAAAATTAACTCAAAATGGATTAAAGACTTGAACATAAGACCTGATACCATAAAACTCCTAGAAGA